TTTTTTAAGGTACTTAAAAGTACTTTCATACTTTAAAAATAATTTAAAAAAAATTGTACAACATATATGTATTATAACAGCTTGTTACATGAAAAAAAAAGAAAAGAAAAGAAAATCATACATCCAAACCTGATATTTTATATTGAATTGTGTATGATACAACTGATCATAATGCTGTTTTGTCATATATATATTCAACAAGTAGGTTTATTTAGAAACAACGGGGGAAAGTAGGAAAAAATGCCCAATGGCACATGGTACCTGTGGAAAAAAAGAACAAACACAAAATGGAACACATGGTAAATGTGAAGTATCTGATTATTTAAAATTCAGACGCAATATAATGCAGTTAATTTCAGTTTTGCAACAGTTCTCTTCTGTCAAACCTTGCAAAACAGCTCCAGATGATCATTTTTTAATGTTTGAACATCCTTATTCATGAAACTATTATGCATGTTCTGTGTCACTTGATAACTGCTCAGTGTTTGCAAAGTTAAAAATAAAGTATGTAAACAAAGTATGTAACGCTATATTAAGGTACACATATTCCCTATTAACTCGTTGCTTATTAACATGCATATTACTAGCATATGGACTGTTTATTAGTGTTTATGAAGGACATAAAAATGCCTTTTGCATGACCATGTTCTGCAATTAACTAAGACCATTCACTAGTTTTCCTTTAATAAACTCATCATTACTGCTTATTGATAATAATTTAGGCACTTGTTCTACATTAATTATGATCTTAAATACGAGGCATTGGCTTCACCATGAAAAACAATATATTACTCCTCAGGCAGAACTTTTAACTAAATTGCTCAAGCAAAACCCAATTAAAAACAGGACAGTACTCTAACTCCATAAGTGCCAACAAAACAGGAGAAAATGGTGAAATACAGTGAAAATGGCACGCACCTTCCCACAGCTTCCATACAAGGTAGAAACAAACAATCAAAATCATAACAGGCTTAAATTGCACACATTAACAAAGGAACACATACACCTTCAATTAAAGTATGATACGTGTTGTAGTCACTAACACAGTTAATTAGTTCTCTGGAAAATCTTTCTCAGCTTCTGTGATCAGCTTCCTGCCAAAGAGTCAAAGGAACCAAACAGGAAAATAGAGAACACAAACCACATCACACCACAAAATATAGTAAAAACCCTACTTGGAGAGTAATTGTTTCTCATGTGGATGTCTGTAAAAATAAATTTGCATAGCACTTCAGTGATAAATGATCAACATTTCGATGCCGATATATTCATGGTGAAGGAGTGATTTTGTGATCCTACGAACCTGGGAACGTGCTGCTCATGTGGTCAGTCACATGATTGTCTGCTGTAAATGTAATGTCATATGCCTGTAATAATAAGAATAAATTAATATTTAACCCTTAAATGCATGAATGTTTCGCCAATCATTTTTACATATTCTGGTCTTTAGCGACCCGGACCTATATATCCAGGACTGATGGACCTCTAACTGCTGCAATAGCAAAAAACTCTCTTGATATT